TTGTAGGGTCTTTTTTTTTTCTTAATGTTTATTTATTTTTGAGAGAGACAGAGTATGAGCAGGGGAGGGGCAGAGAGAGAGGGGACACAGAACTTGAAGCAGGCTCCAGGCTCTGAGCTGTCAGCACAGAGCCCGACGCAGGGCCCGAACCCACGAACCAGGAGATCAAGACCTGAACTGAAGTCAGGCGCTTAACCGATTGAGCCACCCAGGCGCCTTCCCACCTTGTAGGTTCTTGACAAAAGGTGGATGGCCGTAGGGCCCAGAGGACCATGTGGACGGGCCACCTGGGCCATAGTTGCCTTTGCTCCCTTGACCAAGATGGGCAGTTGAACAGGGTGCTGCCTCCACATCGCCGTGCCCTCCTCGCCAGGCCTGACCAGCAGCCCCTCCTGCACGCGCCCCTACCTTAGCGAGATGCCAAGGGGAGAAGTGATCTGGGGTATCGCCTGGCCATATCTGAACGATGTCCTAAAGATGGCAAATCCCTAAAGCCCAAAAGGGATCCTCTCTGGGTTCCAGGAGAGAAGAGCAGCTGATGGGAAGATAAATTTGTGGGCCGGGCCTCCTGGGCTCCTCCAGTGCTCTAGGCCCCTCAGCACCCCTCCCTAGAGAGCAGCCTGGACTGTCAGCCATGACTGTGTTTGCAAAGCCAGGCCGGACGAAGCCGGTTTCAGCATCCAGTGGTTACTTGTCATTGTTCCTCTTATCGCAGGCTTCACTGTAGACAGAATGCAGATCCTTGGGGACTGTTCACTGGGGACTTTTCATGATTAGGAATCACTAGCTTGCTGTGGCCAAAGATTACGCAGTAGACCCTTGGACAACATGGGTTGAACCATGCAGGTTCATGTACATGCAGATTTTTTTTGATAAATACAGTACAGGACTGTAAACATATTTTCTCTTCCTTACGATTTTCTTAATAATATTTTCTTTTCGGGGCACGGGGGTGGCCTAGTCGGTTAAGCGTCTGACTTCAGCTCAGGTCATGATCTCACGGTTCGTGGGTTCAAGCCCCACATCAAGCTCTCTGCTGTCAGCATGGAGCCCGCTTCAGATCCTCTGTTCCCCCCTCTCTCTGCCCCTCCCCATTCCCCTGTGTTCTCTCTCCCTCTCAAAAATAAATAAACATTAATAATAATAAGAAGAAGAATATTTCCTTTTCTCTAGCTTCCTTTATGATAAGAACACAGTGTGTAATATACCTGAAATACAAAATTCGTGTTAATCGACTGTTTACGTTATCGGTGAGTCTTCAGATAGGCAGTAGGCTATCGGTAGTTTTTGGGGAGTCAAAGGTTATACATGGATTTTCAACAGGGCAGGGGTCGCTGCCCCTAACACCTGTGTTGTTCAAGGGTCACCTGTGTTTTGATGGAGCTTTTTTGTAGCTTTCCTTGGTGTGAAAACATGCATGACAGTTGAAGATACTCTGTTCTTTCTAACTTGGGGGAGGAAGACAATTTGAGTCTTACGTGGGTTGGGAACAGATAGGGGGATGGGTGGGCCTTTCATTTCTTCTAGGTTTCATTTCATGATACATGACTAAGAGGAGAAACTGTTAAATAGAGACCCACTGCAGTGATGTGGGTGGTCCAGATATCATGCTTAGTCAAACCTTAGGATCCTGTTGGGGAACTCTGAGAAACAGAAAAGGAAAATAATAAAAGCCAGCACAACACACACACACACACACACACACACACACACACATGCGCACACCTTCAAATATCATGCTCCAGATACCATTTTAATGATTTTACTCCTATGAACTCATTTAACCTCCTCCAAACCCTATAAGGTAGAAAATGTTATATGTATCCATTTTCCAGGTAAGGGCACTGAGGCACAGGGGGGTCTGGGGTCCTGCCAAAGGTCAGCTAGCCCAAGTTCAAACCAAGAGTTCGTCCTTTGAACCACCTAGCCAAAAAATGTTTTCAATGATCAATATATGTGCATATTAATACTTATATTATTAATATTAATTGTTGGTATATTTCTGTTCTGTTAGTTATTTATGTATTTATATGTTAGTCACTGTATTCTGAGTTATATATATATATATTTTAAAACAGTTTTTAAAAGTTACTAAAACCATGGCGGTAGACATATGTTATAAAAAGGTGCTTGCGTCCCATGCATGTATGTGAAGTGTTTGGGTGGAGATCCCCGTGCGTGTACATGTCTCTAGTCCTTATTGAACCTCAGTCTGTCAGTTACATATTGTGAAGTCAGTTTGTTGACTGTAAATTTTGTCTGGCCAATCCCATGAGTACCCAAATAGCATCTAGCATTTAAAAATAATATTTAGGGGTGCCTGGTGGCTCAGTCAGTTAAGCGTCCGACTTCGGCTCAGGTCACGATCTCACGGTTTGTGAGTTCGAGCCCCGTGTCGGGCTCTGTGCTGACAGCTCAGGGCCTGGAGCCTGCTTCGAACTCTGTGTGTCCCTCTCTCTCTGCCCCTCCCCTGCTCACACTCTGTCTGTCTGTCTGTCTCTCTCTCTCTCACTCAAAAAAGAAATGAATAAACGTTAAGAAAAATTTTTAAATAATAATAATATTTAAAGTCCACCAGCAATTAGTGTCTTTGAAATACAGAGAGAATAATTTGAATTTAGCCTATTCCCAAACTCAGGTACTCCGTCTTTCCCAATCCTTGAAGGGGCAAGCAATGTTAAAAAGGAAAGATGAAGCCCTGGGTGTTGTATGGAAACCAATTTGACAATAAACTTCATATATTGGAAAAAAAAAAAAAAAAGGAAAGATGGATACAGTTTCTTTCACTCCTTGGGGACCAGCTCTGGGGGAGTGGATAGCAGCCAATCCGATCCCATGTTCCCTGGAGTCTTGGCTTGAAAGAAAACAAAGCTGAATCTCTCTTGATCCTGTGTTGTTTTATTGATGATTAAACGGAAGCCGTGTAACTATGCGAAGTGTTAACATCTTACACAAATACCAAAGGTGTGCATTCTGGAATTTAAGCAAAGCCAAACTCAAGGGAGTGTTGGAAAAACCATCAACTTGTGCCCAAGAAGTACCACCTTTCCAGTTTGATGGCTGGAAAGCATAAATTAATGGTCAACTACCCAGCGGATATATCCAGGCCATCACCTCATTGTTTTGTGTGTTCTCTTTTGTGTTCCAACAGGGAAAAGCTTCACTTTGACAATCACGGTCTTCACGAACCCACCACAAGTTGCCACGTACCACAGAGCCATCAAAATCACAGTGGATGGACCCCGGGAACCTCGAAGTAAGTGGGCCCCCCCCTCGGGGCTGGCAAACCTCTGGGCTGGGACACTGAGGCACCAGGGACGGTATCTCAGAATCCTTGGGTTTGACTGACGTTGCTCAAATGCGGCTAAAACTTGTGTCAGAGAGGGATAGGAGGCTCCTGCAGGGAGAGAGAATTTTATCGTTGACAGTTGTCAAAGTTTGTCTCTGAGCACTGGGCTCCTTTTAAAGCATTCTCTTAAAAGGCAGAAGCAAATCAGCCTGAGTCAAATGTGTGTTGGAAGCATGTTGGGGCTGCATGAAACTAAGGACTAGTCCCTCAAATACACGGTGAAGTTCAACAGTATCAGAAACGAACAGTAAATGGAAGAATGGCCAGCCGCAGGGGTGGCCCAAAAAAAAAAAAAATGCCTGAGGGTCAGAGTGGACCACAAGTAGTGATTACTATCCACGCTGGCCTTTTATTCATTTGTTAAGGCCAGAGATGAAAACTATGAAAATGACCATGTCTTTTCCGTGGCATAGATCAGAATCTTATTACAGGATTGATTAAAATAGAGAATGGGAGGGCAGAAGAATTCCTGGGGGAAAACCAGTAAATATAGAAAGACGGTACCAAAAAAAAAAAAAAAAAAAAAAAAAAAAAAAAAAAAAAAGAAAAAGAAATAGCTCCTGTGAGGAAAGCTTTTTTAAAAAGCAGTGGGGTTGTTTAGTCTGCAGAAAGATGTTTTCACGGTGACTTAATGACTATCTTTGAGTAAACACAAGAGTAACACTCTTTTCCAGAACCACACCCTTCCCCGGGCCGGAGGCTGGGTTCTACCCATCATCTGCATGCCTCCAAACCGTATCAGGTCCCCGGGGTGGAAAATGATTACTGTCTCTTCTGGTGGGAGAGATTCAAAAACAGGGCTTACGCCTGGAGGTTGAGACGCGGGGAGGCGAGGTCGTAAAACGGACTGGTTAAGAATTTGGGTGTTGGGGGTGGGGGGAAACAAGTGGAGTTCTGGTTCACGCGCTTAAGCCTTCAGCAAGTTACGGAACCTCCCCGGACCTCAGTTTCCTCATCTGCAAAATGGAGATAATAGTGAGGGCCGCTTTTATAAGACAGAAAGAGACAACGCTTTGTGCCTGGCACAGAGGATGAACTTGGGAGACGTTGTCCATCCGCAGGAGGGGCTCCCTGCCCGCCTCTGCGGCTGCCGTTCGGCGGGGCTGTCCTCCAGGGGCCTTTCTCGTGGTGGGGGTGCTCATGGGGCTGTAAGGCCGCCCCCAGGCGTGACTCTACAGGTCACCCCGTGCTCACCCCAAGTCGTGCCTCATAGTGTCTTGATCCCATAGAACCATCCCATGTGCTGCCTCAGCTTTCTCAGTGCCCCAGAGAGGGAAGAACCCCCACAGGGAAACCACACCCGCCGGGAAGAGCCCCCCAGGATGTGGCATTCCATTCACGAGGAGCGCCTGGGTGCAGCCCGCCTGCTCCGTGTGACTCCCTTTATCTCTGACCTCGGTTACCGCCTCTCCGCTTTTTCTCTTGAAGTCACGGAGACCATCTGTCGGGTCATGCCCAGACTCAGGAAACTCTGGGACTTTGGTGGCATCCCCCTGATTCCAGTCTGTGTTTGAACAGCCAGGCCACAGGCACAGGACCACACAGTGACAGCCAAACCCAGTTTTGTAGGTTTCCAAAGTAGGCGTGGCAAACTGAAGACTCATAGTGACCCTGTCATATTAATAACGGAACAGAAACACCCAGCAGGCGCCTTGGCTCTCTGTAGAGGACCAAAGAGGAAGCAGGCTTAGATTCGAGCAAAGCCCAGGGTTGGGGGGCAGGGGGCATGCAGGCGGCTGTGAGGTGTCAGGAAAATGACTCTGGGGGTCGCGAAGTCGTGAGAGAGGCTCACTCGGTGGTTGTAGAATCTCTGTCTTTAAAAATAGAAACAGTAGTTTCGACTCAGACCGTTCAAACGCTGACCTGCCTGGAGGAAGAAGCTTTATAACCAGGTGACCCCTTGATATACCTCTACCTCTGTTATTCTCTCATGCAGAAAAAAGGGCAGGTTTTTGCCCCACTGCTTGTATTTCCTGTAACATTCAAAGAAGCATCCAGGTGGCTGAACTTGAGAAAAACAAATGATGGTCGCTCTGACTGTTAAGAATTGGCAGCCGGAGGGGAAAATATGGTATTGTAAGGGCCTGCCTGTGTATACAGTTGACTCCCCTGCTGTTTTATAACTCCAGAAAGCGGTCACGATTGAGAAGGGCTCTCTGAACAGACAGAAGGGATTTGCTCCAGAGGCATCCATTTTTATGGTGTCTCTCCTGCCAAATGGAATTTGGGGTCTTAGGAAAAATTAAATGGGAGGTGCTAAGCATGCTATAGAGAGGTGTTACAGTCCCAAGTAGACAGTCTCGCATTTCACAAAGGTCTTCTAGAAGGAGAATTAAATGTACACAGACTCCCAGAGGGGCTTGAGTAATGCTGACTTTTCTATTCACCCAGGAAGCAAGGGTGGGGCCCCTCACTGCTAATATTAGTATGCTGTTTTCCTCGTTATGTGAACATCTCGATTCAAGGTGGGAACTACTTTTTGATGAAGTTCTGCTCGCAGCCATTTTGTTTTTAACGAGAAAGTGAACAGAGTTGGGTTTTTTTCTTCCCCCAGCTTTCTTGAGATGTCATTGACCTATAGCATTGTGTAAGTTTCAGGTTTGCAACATGATGATTCGATGTACGTGTATGTTGCAAAACGATTACCACGGCAAGATGAGTTAACAGATCCATCCACTCAAATAGTGTGTGCGTGCGTGTGTGCATGCTGAGAACTTTTACGATCTGTTTGCCTGGCAACTTTCAACTATACGACACAGTGTTGTCAACCGTAGTCGTCATGCTATACGTTACATCCACAGGACCCGTTCATCTTACAACCGGAAGCTTGTACCCCTTCACCATCTTTGCCTACTTCCCTGCACTCATTCTATCCCCATCCCCCGCCCCTGCCCCTGCCCCCACTGATCGGCTCTCTGTTTCCATGAGTTCTTCTCTCTCTTTTTTTTTTTTTTTTTTTTTTTTTTTTTTTTTTTTAGATTTTACATGTGAGATCATCCCGTATTTGTCTTTCTCTGTCTGACTTATTTCCCGTAGCATGATATCCTCAGTGTTCATCCATGTTGTTGCAAATGGCAGCATTTCCTTCCTTATTAAGCCCGAATGATATTCCAGTATGTAGTTATGGCAAAGTGGCCCTGGCATTGACAAGGACAATCGTTTTGAAAAGTTCTATCGTTTCATGGCATCAAAGAGCGGGGGAGCTGAAGAGAGAGAGCCTCCGGGCCTCGTGGCCTCAGAGAGAAGGGAAAGTCCCAGAGAAATGAAATGATTTGCCTTGGTTGAGAAAAAGTAGTTGGTAATAAGGCAGGAGGAGAACGAGGGGCTCCTGGTACCTCATCCTGTTCTGCTGTCCACCTGTCCATTCACCTCTTCATCTCCCTGGGCCATCTGTCCACCACCTATGCCAAAGTCTCTGAGCTGGCTTCTCACCCTCGTGTTTTAAGTGAGGCGATAGCTCATCGGGCTTCTCGCGTTCATCCCAGCTGTAAGATGGTCTGAAAGGGGCAAATGGTGGTGCTTCATTGCAGGCATGGAGGCCTTTAACTTGAAACACTCATGCAAAGAACCAGAAGAAAAGCTTATCTCACTCAACCTGACACTCAGGTGACTAAGGAAAGAACAGTGGGGACGTCTGGGTGGCTGAGTCGGTTAAGCGTCACACTCTTGATTTCGGCTCGGGCCACGATCTCACGGTTCGTGAGGTCAAGCCCCGTGTCAGGCTCTGTGCAGACAGCGTGGAGCCCGCTTGGGATTCTCTCTCCCTCTCTCTCTGCCCCTCCCTCCTCGGCTCATGCATTCTCTCTCTCAAAATAAATAAACGTTAAGAAAAGAAAGAAAAGGACTATGAATTAGAGAGCATGCCACAGCTGACTTTTCTAGGCCAAAGGGATAACTTGGTCCTTCCCACCCCACTTTCCTGGGTTTCGGTGGTGAAGGTACAGCAAAAAGTGTATTCCGGAGAGAACTGAGAACCGTTTTCACCTCAGATGGTTACTTTGCTCTTTTGCAGTAACTGACCTGCCACTTAGTGAGTCAAAACTTGGTTGTTTTTTTTTTTTTTCCACACTCCGTGAGATTTATTTTTCATGTCAGACTAAGAGAGAAATTACCAGTTGATGAAAAATTAAATTTATTATGGAGAAAGAGCACTGTCCGCAGGCATTTTCTCTGTGGGGATCGGTTCTTGCAAGCAGCAGTATGCAGCTAGTACACAGATGCCACAATCCTGGGTGGCTTGTTATGCAAATGACGGTACATTTCCAGGACGGAGACAGAACCACACTTTGTGGCTTGTTAACACATTGAAAGAAAAAGTCTTCTCGTTACGCGGGAGAGACAGGGCGACCGGCCTTTTCAGGAAAACGGTACTCGAGAGTTGTTTTTCATGTATTTTTTATATTTGAGGGGATCTAATGAAAACTCCTAGCTCGAGCCCATGGATCTGTGATATGATAATACTGAGATACCGAAGCACATTCTCTGCAGCTGTTTGACTAAATAATTTGTGTGGCGGCCCAGGGCCGTGGAAGAAGACATTTTGCTAAGGAGAGATTGAGGAGAGTTAGCAGCCGGGACCCTAAGTGACCCGACGGGCAGGGGGTGGGGATCCCAGGGCTGCGGACTGGAGAGTCCTTCTGATGTCACAAGCCATTACCTGTCTGGCCAGATAGCTGTTAACTTCTGGAACATTGAGCAACCTAATTAAAAATTGAAAAGATTAATAAAACAAATATTGGCCATCTCTGGGACAACACCTGCCCTCAGGTTAAAGGAGTCCTTCACAGTAACTGCTGTGCTGGCTTGGAATTCACAATAACAGGGAGCTAGGTGGAGCCGTTCCTGAAAAACTTCGGAAAATGCCATTTTCTGGGGCACCAGCCGTCTTGCCGGCTCACTTTCTTAAA